ATTTAAGTGTAAAACTAATAAGGTCTGCGCAATGTAAAAGTAATAAGATCTGCGTAATGTAATATCTATGAACCAAGTTTCATTGAAATGTGATTAGAACCCAAAAATTATTAATTATTGTGCTAATTAAGAGAATTAATATGAACAGATTTTAACCCAAAATTAATCAGGCTGTCTATTGTCCTAGAGCATTTATGTACCAAGTTTTATTCAAATGTGATGATCAATACTTGAGATATCAGTATTAATTAATTATGTTAATTAGGTGATTAAGAAGCATAAATATTTACCAAAACTAATATGGTGTACAGTCCTACACATGTAGGTTCATTGAAATGTGATGAGTACTCTTTAAAAGTTTCATTAAAAATTCAATGAGTGGTTCTTAGGACAAATTAACTAATTAAGCAAATTAGTACCGTAGTTATTATGCACAATAATTTATCCTAAAATTAATCAGGTCTCTGCATAGTCCTAGAAGATCTATGTCGCAAGTCTCATTGATATCAGGTGAAGGGCTGAAAATTAACTAATTATGCTAATAAGGTGATTAATATGCACAAATATTTCTCCAAAAACTAATTAGGTCTCTGCACAGTCCTCAAGTAACTATGTACCATGTTTCATTGAAATTTGTTCGTTACTACTTGAAATATCAATAGCTGAAAATTAATTAATTATGCAAATTAGGTAATTAATATGTACTGATATTACCCTAAAAACTATCAAGTCTGTGCAGTCTCATATGACATCTATGTACCAAGTTTTATTGAAATGTTATGATTAGTACTTGAGATATCAGTGGAAAAGCCGAAAATTGATTAATCATTATGCAAATTAGGTAATTAATATAAACAGATTTTTACCCAAAACAAATGAAATCTGTGCATTAGATCAGAGCATCCATGTGCCAAGTTTCATCAAAATCCAATGAGTGGTTCTTCAAATATCAGTGGAACAGTCATGGAACAGCTTAAAATCAGGTAATTATCATGCAAATTAGGTATTTAATATTCATAGATTTTTACCAAAACCTAATCAACTCTGCGCATTATCCCAGAGCATCTATGTACCAACTTTCACCAAAATTTGATTAGTGGTTCTTGAGATAATGGTGGAACAAAAAAAGTGACATACAGACAGACAGACAGACATACAGACATACAGACAGGGTAACTGCAAAGACTCCCTTTTGTGCTTCACACACGGGAGTCAAAAACACGTTGAAATAGCTACACGCCATTTTAGTGAATTTGACTCCATGCATGAATTAATAGAAATTTACATAAAATGTCATTGTGAGAATACACTTCCTGTAACTGCGATACATTAAATTAGCTAAAAATACATGTTTTACAGTATTCCAAGGTCACACACAAAAGACAAGATAAATAAGCGTATTCATCATACCCTAGCTTCTTCACTTTTTTCTTGAATCTCTTCATTTTCATTCACCTCGCCAGACATCCCTGTTTCTATAACAACATCATCTTTTTGTTTGATGTATGCAATATCATAGAATATAATGAGACCATTAGGTTTCTGTGGTTCTTCCCATTCCAGCAGCACCTCTCTATAATGGGTCTTGTTAGTTATTACAGTGGATGTCACATTACTGGGAATGTTATCAGCTAAAGCTGTGGTGATGAAAAAAATGTTGCAATTAACGCATAAGATATAGATAGCGTCAATAAGGTTGGCAACAACTTCCACTCAGACCTCATCAGCTCTGTGCGCGTCTGTCTGTACAATTTGTAACTTGAACCAGGCCTGTCAACAACACAATTAGATATACCATATAAACAATTTTCTGGCAAAAATGTAGGTATGAATTTTTTGCTATAGTTCCTTTGTATGCCAAATGTATAGCGTTGCAACAGATCACCTCAAAACATAATGTTGTCAGTCGTTAGCTACAATTCAGGAAGTCCGCATATATTTTAAGTGCAAATTTGGCAAAACGCAATCAGGTAAGATATATCCTGCCAGGCATCTTTTTATGATTTGGGAATTCAGAGAACTGTGCGCAAACTTGAGTACATTTTTCGAAACGTTTGATTCGGGAAAGGTTAATAACACCTATGGTATCTAGGAAAATAAGTCTGTTTCAAAGGCAATAAGTTCGCTCGGATTTGGTACTATTTTAACAATACTTACGATCTGGTAGGGTTCTAGCATAGGACACCGCTAATGGACTGCACCCGGCATCGTTACATGCTTGCACCTTTAGATAAAACATTGTAAAATGGTCAAGTTCAACCATTAGGTGATCAGTACGATCCACCTTGGAAATATCGTATACTGTTTCTTCTTCCTCTTCTTCATTCCCATCAGTTGTGGAATTGCCGTTAACTGGATCCTCTGATGGTGCTTCTGGCTGTGTCTCAATTGTAACAGAGATATTATTTCCAGGGCTATAAGCAACATCACGTAGTATTCTTTGCGTTGTGTTAACACCAGGCAGTGTTTGTGACAGTTCATCTCGCTTTATACGTTCATATTGTTCGTTTGGTATAGGTCTGTGAATATTAAATAGGCACACAATCAGAAATAGCAGAGTTACAGTCCCAGTTATGAAATAAAATATTGGATATATTTCTGTCATATTGCGATATCAACATATGACAATTTGAGCCTAATTAGATGAATACTAATGCATGGAATGAGACGAAATAAGTAATAATATTTTGAGTGTTAGCGATAATTTTTCTGCATGGAATTGTGTTTTTTGAACACTTTGTTCCAAATCTTCATACTACCGAGCATTCTGGGTAATGGGAGTACAAATTATGCAAATGAGTATTTGGCATAGGGATACTGCTGCAACAAATCAAAATGGGATGAAAGGAGTTAAAAGGCCCAATTCACTTGCCCCGGGCAATTGTGAATTGGAGGCGTGGCTATGCTAATGAGTGTCGTTAATCACTTGCATAGCCTAGGACGCATCCTGTTCCAGCGATCCAACGTCGCGTGACTTTGATTGACAGTAGTTAATTATTCAAGATTAGTAGCATGTCCCTTTCCCCGGTTCGTGTTTTTGACTTTTATCTGCCAAAATCTCAGCTCATACACTATTTATTGTCATAAATACTACACACAGTCACTGCTGTGATATTCATAGTCACATACATCCACTTTGGCACACGTAATCGACCTGTAAGTTCGAGAAAACACGTTTTTACCGGAGTTTGGCTTGAGCTGTTTACTACAGCGTGACAAGCAAGGAAATAATCCCTATTGTTTAGGAGCGTATTTATAGTATACCTGGGCCTTTAAGGGGTACTAGAAATGATAAAAAGGCCCACTTAGAATACTGAGATTTAGAGAATAAAATTGTCTAGCATGCTAAATTTGATTTGAACAGCATTTCATACAAATAACACACAGAAGGATGCTTAAATTATAAGTCCAATTTTTAGGTTTGAGCAGTATGTGATAAAGTAATATTCCCTCATTCAAGCAACATTGTTGTCTCTTGCCAATAAATGCTCCTTAGCAGTAAATAAACACGATACATAGTACTATTCACACGAGAGGGAAACCTACCTGGAAACGTAGACATTGTTATGAAGGAAGTTTTCAAATGCTTTTCGCATTGCTTCTTCTTCTGCAATCTTTAACTCTTTCTCTGGGTCTGGACAAGCGCAACATCCGTCGGTAAAATTAGTGGCACTTTCTTTTTCTGTATCTATGGGCTCAGCAGTATGCTCTGGTAGTTTCAGTCCTAGTACACCAAAAGTTTACACGTTATTACAACAAATAAAATATTCTCATAAACAACTCTCAAGAAGCCACTTATAAACCTAAGCAAAAAACAAATCAGGTCAGCGCAATGTCCCAGAGCATCTATGTACCAAGTTTTATTGAAATCTGACAAGCGGTTATTGAGGAATCAGTAGAATGGACAATATTTTTTATTGGGAAATTCACTATGTTCATTTCAGTCATGAATTAACAATAAGGTGAAAACAATCAAATATGAAAAATTCTGCAATCTCATCTTCAGGAAATGAAATTGTAAATATTCTTACCAGGTTCACAATAATTTTGTTGACTGAATGCCTCTACGTCATCTTGTAATTTTGAAATGTACACATAGTAATGTGTAACGTTGCCATTCGGTTCTTCTGGTGGGTTCCATTTAAGCAGTAACTCTGATGACGATTTGGGATGAACCTTAAGGTCCATCGGCGCTGACGGATCTGTTAAGTGGAGCGAGATGAAAAAAAATGGTTAGCATTTGTCGCTGCTTGACTTTCTTCTAATGCCTTTGAGTGTGCACAACATTTGTTTTAGTAGAAGTGCACATAAAGAAATAAATTACTTTGACCATATATACACTTCTATCATTCAAGCAAACGCATGAATTGAAAATTGAATTATTATATGCTTGATCACGCGACTGTTATTTAGGTAATTACATATGCTAGTTATAGAGCAAAATCAATTTTATTGAGAGGGGCATTGCTGTTATATTTAATGCACCAGGAGAATTTTTTTTTTTCCATATTTGGGGGGGGGGGTTTATTATATTAGGGGCAAAATACTGCTGGCAATCTGAGATGGGGGAAAAAAATGACTCTTTGTGGCCTTTAATACCACTACATGCAGCATTCAAACAAGGAGGTCTGTTAGCAAGCGAAGTTGCTTTCAGACAAACGGTCACTACAAGATTTTGTCGTATTAACAAGTCATGGAAGATGCCATTATTTTGAGATGTAAACTACAACAGCCTTTTAAAATTGTTTGTTTGTCACGAACAGTATTTGTGTTTGTCTCACATGTATGAAAGACGTTCCCTGTCTATGTTTTTGCTATTACAATTTTTCCAGCTATAGATACAGTGCAATATTCCAAACACATTTCAATGCTAAGTTTTATAGCCAAGATGAGGATGGGGCACAATAGTTTCAGTCCGTCCTGGCCTTTCTATCAAAGAGATATCGTATATAGGTAGTTCAAAAAGTCACTGTTTTCCTATATACTTATGACATGCTGGTTTATTGCGTTTATGCACAACCTCGTCACCATCACGCCGTCAAAGTACTGGATACTTGTCTAAAAGCAACATTGCTAACTGACTAAGAGTATGTGCACGCCAACAAGCTGTATTAGTGTTCGAACACTACGTGTGGCGGTAGTAACGAAAGATCAAACAAGGGACCTTACAGCCAAAATAGCTGCGATGTTTCAGCATAGCAGTCTTGCATTACTGGCAAGTCCATGCATAGTTACATAAACATCATAGTGGCGAAACAAATAACCTTGACATTCAACCGGTGTTAGGATTTTATTACTAATAGGTCAAGTGCAGTTATAGGATAAGTCAGTGAATTAGTTTTGTGTTCCCCTAAACAAACAGTGGCGACCATCCTGATACCTTTGATCTAAGCTTGGCTGTGACTCCTTCATTTTTTTTTTACCTCCATGATCCAATTTAGGTACATGTACATACTAGTATACACTAGTATTGATTAAATCAAATAGCATTTTTTTAATTTTTTTTTATAAATTACAGAATTTAAAAGAGGTCCACACTTGGGTACACATAAATAGAGTATCAAAACAATTGCCTGTAATTAACAACTTTGATGACAGCAGAGCTAATAAAACAAATTTTATTGAGGGTGGTTCCTATGTGAGGATATTTACAGAAAATTCCTCTTAATATCTAAGATCCATGTTTTGATAATTGACAACTTCCATTATACATAGTACAAAAGCACTATTTTGCTTACTGTCTTGTTTGGTAGTCGCATACTCAATAACACTTTTTGCACCAGTACTGGTCCCAGCTATGGTATATGTCTTGACAAATACTGCATAACGTGTATACGGCTTAAGACGGGTAATTATATGATTGTATTCCTTTGGTCCTAAATCTACTCTTTCCCAAGTACTACTGCCACATGCATCTTGTCCATCAAATTCGGTTACATTCTCAGGCCTAGAGAAATGGAAAAGAAAACAAGATAGACGCATGAAATTTACGTGCATTTCGAACAAAATTGGTCTATGACTGATGCACTTGATTAGTACAGGATCTAAACACGTGACCTATATTGGTTGAAAGAACTCCAAACTAATGAACAAATTTGATAGGTTCATTCAAGGTACCTACATATAAATGCAATCTGGCTAGCAGCAGGGGTTTTTCTAAACCAGGAAACAGGGGTGCAGTTCCCTGATACTCTTGGCTGGCGCCCTCTTACCGAATTGCCGATTGAACTTTCAAGGCATAAATATATTTCTTGAGCTGCGCACTTCTGTGCAGCATGAGATCTTTCTCAAATATATTTTTCTCCGGAGAACTTCCCAGCAACACCAGCTGACAATGTGTCTGGACACTAAAATATTTCAATGGCGATAGATACATCGTTAAAACGGCGCAGAAACCTTCTGATATGGCATCACTCCGCTCCCTCGCCTATGTGTGTTCCTGAGCAGTATCATTAATCAAAAGTTAACGGCAGATGGATGAACCCCAGGTAATGGTACTGTACACTCAGCTGACAACAAGTATCAAATACTCACGCTTCTCTCCATGAGACTTGGAAACTCAGCAGATCTCTCTCATCGTCAGTAACGTACTGTGTCCACCCTAAAAGCATATGTCTTTCAAAAGCCCATAGCACAAGCCTCAGCTCTATCATTTCACCTACAAAAAACATTAACAATTTCAGAAACTGGAATGTAACACTGGTATTCAGCATTCTACTTCCTTGAGGATTTTTATGACATGAAGCAGCATTAAACTAAATAAATATGATAAATATGAAATATGAACAGCGACCATTTAAATGAATTTAATTGCAAAAAGATTCATACATGTAAATGCGTCTCTAATACAACTAGCGCAGATAAGTTAGGCTTTGGAACACAATCTTTTTTTTATTTAAAGTCGGCCATTTTGAACCAGATCTGTTGTGCATTGAAGTCCCATAATGTCTGAAGTCTAAATAATATTCATGAATGCCTGAGATGGTCTCCAGAATAAGGTTACACAAAAACCGAAAAAATCTAGAAAGAGAACAGAGCTTTTTTTGATAATGAGATGTTACTTACATGCAACTTGGTTTCCATTTGTGGTTGTAGAGATGTCTACATCAAGCCGTTCTTGTCCTCCTAGGCCAACATGATTTTCAAGTTCAGTAATATGGGATGGGCACAAATTGGGGTTGAAATGGAAAAATAGCTTTCCCCGATCCATAGTCAGGCTTGGTTTTTGTTCCCAGTCAAATAGATGTTGGAGGTTTTGATTATCTAACACATAAATTGCGTATCTGTCAAAAAAAAAAACAGTATGAAAACAAGAAAGGGATACTTCCTGTTTAGTCACAAAGTGGTTAATGTGATTGCTTGTTTTGCCATGTGAGTTTATGTGTTTTTACCACCAGACTTTCCCACATAAATTTTTCTGCACTTTTTTCTTATATTCTTCACTATCTAACGATCAAAGTGGTTATGCTCCTTCCAGAACTGATACTACTATGTCAGAACTATTCTGAGACATAAATGGGTGAAAAAGATAACGCTATTTTGATCATCTGTTGCTGACAATAATTTGATAACCTAAGTTGTTAGTTTCAATGACATTTTTAATTCATCGCGTGACTATCAAGCAATATAATATTCACTTAATCTACACTGTCAAAAGTAATACATTGCATCCTGAACCTATGGTAGGATACCCAAGCAAGAGGCTGCTTTCATGACCACTGAAGGTCACACATCCTGGTACTTTTAGGACCCATAAAGGTCACACATCCTGGTAATTTCATTGGTATGAAAATCAATAATGATTTATTTTATTACTTCTGTGATTACTTGTTTCAGCTACTTGAGTAAAATATTAATGTTAGGAACAGAAATACACATCAAAATGCGCATGTTTGTGATGCTGTCATAGTAACGAAAGTACCAGGGTGTGTGACCTTTCGGGGTCACGAAATTGGCCAATGGCCTGGGTGCCTTACAAAACATTCACTGTATTACTTTGACACTAATTTTGGCTTTAAAATTGGAACCCCTCTAGATTCTGGAGTCCAGTACTATCAACAGAATACATTTATGAAATTCTTACTTGGAACTGTGCAGGTTTTGGCCTCTGATACGTTTCAAGCGTTTCAGAAAACTGAGCGAGACGACTGGGAAAGCGTGACTGATTTCAACATAATCCTCAACCAGTTCTATCAATCCCAAGTTGGCCTCTAACTCTGCCACAGGATTTCCTGAAATGTACAACATTATTACTTAATATTTCCATAAAACAAACCAAAAGCAATGTGGAAGAATGTTTGTTGTTTTTGTTTTTTTACTGTCATTACCATAAATGTTTTCAACATTTAAGTTGCATCATGATCTTGAATCGCACTTAGCTGGCAGGGGGTTGTGGATTTAGTGTCCGAAACAATATGCTGGTAACAGTAAAGAATGCGATGAATAGAAAGTTAATGAGTATGATGGCATTTCAAAGGTGCAGGTGTATTATCCAGATTATTTGAAGAGGCAGCAACATGTAATCCAGCACCAATTGTGCCTTTCATTACATCCTATCAATCAGTATCTACTAGACTCTCTCAGATATTTCTCTTTTATTTGCTAACCACAATAAACAAGCAAAACATACCACAATTGAACTTGGGTAAAATTATTGTAACAACAATGGGTTAACAATGAGGACGACGAGACAGACAATTTCCCCTTGTATATCTTTCCCTTCATTACCATTACGGGCAAGCTAAAATGTATACATTGTAAGGAAAATCAAGCTGTTGTCTTGAACTCACAATATCGTTCTGATCAAGCGAGATAAAGCGAATCATACCTGCCCCGCTAATTGTAATCTTTAGACTTCCGTTTATAATGGTGCAACCGTGTAGTAGTTGGGCGGATGCAACCGAGTCCACTGTCCTGCCCTCGCAAACTATCAAATAAAAAAATAAAACTATAATTTAATTTACAACAAAGTATTCAGGTATCAGTGCATATGTTAGCGATACAAGATAAAATAAAATGTCAGTCATTGCAATGTGTTTGATATGTATCCGCGAGTTTTAGGATTTACGAATAAAGAGGAGCACGGATCGGCACGGATCGGGCACGTGGCAACTCACCTTTTGGACAGGGTCCAACACATGGTAGACATTCTGCCGAGTCTGTCTCATTCACAGTATAATCCGGAGGACATTCCTTAATACAAGTATTCTTGTATATTTTCCAACCCCGAGGGCAGGCAGAACGAGATATACACCTTCTGTTCAAATACTAATAACACACAAAAATGAGCCGTTTATTACTTTAATAATTGATTCAGCATTCTCCACAAAACAATGCACAAGCACTGCATCACCTTTCTCTAATTAAACCTGCAAAATTTTTTTAACATTTTGAACAAAACTTCTAAATGAGAAATTACTGATGAATGTTGTACCTATTTTGGTTGGAAAAATTACAACATTTAAAGAATCAAAGAACACTGAGAGTAGTGGAGGCGCACATTTAAAATTAATTAGCTTGTCAAACAAAAAGCTGTTTAAGATGCACAACATGATCCACATGGTTCTTAGCATTAAAATAATGTCTGTGGATTACTCCAGAGTTTCTATGAAATGGGATGATTAGTACTTGAGAAATCGGTGGAAAACTGAAAATTAGGTAATTAATATATACATCAGACAGGGTAACCGCAAAGATTCCCATAGTGTGCTTCACAGACGGGATTCAACAAAAAATCTAGAGATAATACTGAGCAGATTAAGTTGTTAAAAGTTTCATTACTTTCATAATTTACGATTTTGTAATGAGAGGACATTCAAAGATGCATTAGTATGAGTTGACCTACATAATGAGCTTTTTAGGTCATCGCCTCGTGTACTTATAAATTGGCTTCTAGCGAGAATTTTATGGTTTTCCCAATTGTTACTTACATCAATGTTAATGCATAACACACATAATCTGTTGTAAACACTGGAAAAATAACATACTACCAATAATGCTTGGACAATAGTGGCATATATGTAAACTACTAGTATACAAGATTTCACAATTTAGCATGTTGAGGGCGCTGTACATTACTGCAACAGTTGATGTTTGTGAACAGGAATGAACACATGAGTTCTGTGTTTCCAAATTCCAATGTCCAACTTGCGATATTACTGACAAATGAAAAACGTATGACACTGGCAGCAGGATAAAGAAAAGAGTTGTTACTAACTAGACGTAAACAATAATATCCAAATTAGTTTCTAGGATGGATCGCCATTCGCTATATAGAAGGAGGTAAACAAACGACCTGACACTTGAAATAGCTCTGCTGTTTCAGCAGTTGTGAGTGTTCCTCAAATGCACAGAAGAAACTAATCTAATAGAAGTCGATAAGTACCGTATATCAAGTATCAACACAATTTGAGTAGCGGTTTTCAAGAAGTCAACAATAACATTAACATTTGCTAAAATTGAAGATATCACAAAATGAACAAATCTGACTAAGGTCCACCCAAAGTACCTACAAACCAATTGAGTATGTAGTTTTCAACCAAAAAAGTTGAAATGCAAGATTTTATACCGAAGACATTTCCATGAAATGAACAAAACTGTGAGAGGTCCACCCAAGGTTAACAGAAATACAAGATTGTTCTTACCTCAAGGGTGTCGGAAGGACAGTTCTGCATACAACGTCCATCATGGTAAAAGTTACGACATGCAACACAATTATGCACTCCGTTACCAACACAGCCGCCAATACACTGACTGTCACAGTCACATTTAAGGGGTTCTATCCCCGTCCGGCAGTTGTCGTGACAATTATACGGGCACGCTGCAAAAAGACAACATCAATAAATTGATCATGTATCAGTGAAAATCTATTTTGAACTTGAACGAAAAAATTCTCTAGTTTGTGGCAATTATTAATATATCCTGATTTTACGTTCGATAACGCGTGATCTCGCAGTGAACGGAAAATGGTCTATTCAAAAGAATGAAAAAACAAATTATATCAAATTATATGTTGTACTTTATATATGCTCTGAATGCCAAAATAAACTTTTCTTTCTCCTTTCAGAAAATAAACTTGTTTCAAATTATTTTTTCTAAAAAAAAAAAAAATGTAATTAAGATCCTTAAGGAAATATTCCCACCTTTTGATCCAAGATTAACAAAAACTATATAAGAATTTGCATATTGAAGGTTACAAATTAATAAATTATTAATTAACAATAGCTTGTGGAAATAATTATTGATACTGACCAACTCTATATATTTGTTATAATTATTATTGGTTATAAAATCAATAGTTGTCTAGCTATAGATGAAAAATATTAGCTAAAAATGAAAAATCAGAGTAACTGTCGTTGAACCAACAAATCTGAGGAAGAACACTGTGGCAAATACATGTAGCTCATCAGTTGTATGAACTGGGCAAACAATAAAATTAACCAGTACCAGTACATTGATGGTGACAGATTAAAAGGTTTTAATCCAATTCCATACGTGTCATAAACAGTGCCTTATATGGGAGCTATGACTGCAATTCCAGGAAACTGGGTCACATGACCGTTAATAAATAAAGACAGATTAGATGTTTGCTAAAACCAGTTGTCTGCACATGTTGACAACAAACTGTAATATACACCATGACTGCGGAAGAATAATTTACTCAACTTTTGTCAGGTGAATGATTTAAAGCCAGCTGTAATCTTATGTTTGTTTAAAAAAAACAAAAACACCTAATATGTTCTAATAGAAGCGCATGTACGTCAACAATTGCATATACTGTGTTTGGACGACTGTAAAATGACTAATTTTCACTGGGTTTAAATTTCACTGATTTAGCATTTCAGGCATATTCAGTGGGTTTTAAATTCAGTTTTATCATTTAGATAATGTGTTTTATGCTAAATTTTACATATTCACTGGGTTTTAATTTAGTGCATTTTCCAGTCAGCGAAATAAGCAAAATTAAAACCCGGTGAATAATTAACCCTTTTACACTATACCATGAAAATGTTACTTAACACCACTGTAATTTACATAAGCACATGTGCTCCTAATAGAGTGAATACAGTATTATATGTTGGATCAATACAATATTACTTACTGTAAAATAATCCTTCCTTCAGCGAAAAATAGATTAAGTGAAAATAAAATCGAACGAATATAGCTTTTTCATATATTTTTCAAATTTCATACAAAACACCTAAAAAGTGTTCTCAGCGAAAATAAAGTATTTTACAGTATTTTGAAACATAGACTCGTTTATACGAGTGTATGAGTTACTAATAGAAATAAGTAGCCTGTCAGCTGATATAGTTCTACTGTTTCAGATGCATAAATAAATCAGTCCAGCCATTTTGAAGATAACATTTACTAGAATTATGATTTGGCTTGGTGGTTTTCAAAAAGATGTCACCAAAAATGAAAATCAAAGAAAGCTTAGAAAAAACTCCCGTGTGCTGAAAGTTTTGGAGACACATTACAAATTAATTCAAAATTACTTATACTTGAGATATTGATGGAATAGCTGAAAACTAATTATGCAAATAAGGTAACTAATATGAACAG